CATGTCCTGCAGGTTGGGCTTGATCGCCGTGGCGAGATGAATGGGAGAACCCCCTTCTTCATCGACTATCACACCCTCTGGAACTGATGCTCGAGTTTCCCACTGTCCAAATTTTGATGCAGAGAGATTCCGAAACACTTGCTGCAGGAACTCTGCAGAATCATGCTGTCCTCCGTCAAAGAGCCAGCCCGTGGTGAGCTCCGAGAAGACTCTGTGTTCAGGGGTTATTCTCGCAAGTAGACTGATCCGAGATGCCTCGTGAAAAGGCGCCTCTGTGGGATCAGATAGCCAGTGCAGACACTGTAGACCTGAGTTGGCATAGCAGTGGTTGCGAGTGTTGGCTAGCAGGAGAAAGCCTTCCAGTCTAAATTCGGGAAGGGGAATACCTGGCATTGAATCTGTGGGCTTCTTTGTGGCTGTCTTCGCCGAGGTCGTGGGCCTTGCTCGAGTATATTCTCGGGGCTGCTTACTGAGCTGCTGACGCGCTACCTCCTGCAGTACGTGCACCTGCAGTAGTGGAACGCACTGCTGAGCATGTCTACCCGGGGCATCCACACGGAGTTTGCAATAGCGACAGCTATCTCCTTTGTGAAAGAAGACCTTGAACTGAGCAAGTCTTGGTTGGAGAGTTTTCTCAAGCTTGGCCATCACTTCAGGATGCTGCTTGTTTAGGTGCTGTTTGGCTCCTTTCTGACCAACAAGGACCTGACCGCAGAGTGCACAGTGCTCCATCAGGTAATCATGGAACACCGGATTTCGAGCTGCTCCTTCCGGATTTTCCTGAGCATCAGACTGTAGACTTTCTGTAAGTGAAATCCGGTTCTGGGCTTCTAGAGGGAGCTCTTCCTGCTGTCGAAGCAAGAGCTCTACCCGAGGACATGTAGAAGCTTCGACGTGTTTGCGCAGAGAGAACACTGTTCGGAATGTTGCTCTACAGGCGATGCAAGTTGCTGACCCTGGCATTGAATGCAAAATAGGGTCAAATCTGGGTCCTTTCAAGCTTTGCTGCGAATCTGGGTGGGCCTTCTGCAGGTGGCGACGGAGTGCCCCGGTACCAGAGAGACATGCTCCACACTCGCCGCAGGTCAGGATCTTATCCTCTACTGATTGCGAGGAGAAGTCAATGGCAAGGCCTTCCAGAGCCTGGCTGATTGCCTCAGCGCGCAGCTTGTAGTGTGGGAGGAGCTGAGGATCTGAGTGTTGCTGTCTCTTAATGAACTGTGTCAGCCTCTTTTGCAGCTGCTCCTTCACGTGAGGAATCCGTACTCTCCGGAGTAACTCCTGGTTGGATTCCTTCGTTTCCTGGGAGTAGCTCCGCAGGACAAACCGAAGTTGGTACATCATGTGTGAATGGAGCTTCTGCAATCCCTGCTGTGTCAGTCCTACCACGTGAAGGGCATACAGAGCAGAGGCCCACGCAGTTATTGTCCAAATTGACAGACGACGTCTGTCTGATAGGACTCGATGGTTCCTAACTGCATGGGCGACTTCTGACATTGCTAGCTTACTGGATGACAGCCGATGTTTAAGGGTCTTCATTTCATAGTCATGATAAGAAAGAATGACCCCCAGGTATGGGACCTGGTACCGCAGCGATATCAACTTGCCCGAAGGGAGTTCCACAAACTTCTCTCCATCTACCTGGCGAAATAGCTTTTTCCTAATTGTCGAGGCTGAACCTCCTTGTAGCTGCAGCAGTATTGCTGACTTGGACGGATTGACCTTGAACCCAAGTTCAACCAATTGATCCAGAAGAAGGTCGCAGTACCCTAGTGCTGTAATGAGGCCAGACTCAGACTCGAAATGCGACTGAATCAAGCTGTCATCCGCATACATGGTGAGAAGTTTAACTAGTTCGGGGGGGCTGATTTTTCCAGAGAGCTTCCTAAAGAGAAGCCCGGATGCAAAGGCGAATAGGGAAGGTGCAAGCTTGCATCCCTGCTTGATTCCCCTGCGTGTGGCTATCTCAAAGCTCTGATCGCTGGCTGTCATCTTGTACAAGGCTTTGATGTGGAGATGGCCCACCACCTCTATAAGAAGAGGGTCTGCTTGTTCAGCTTCCAGGGCTTCTCTTAATCGTAGCCTGTCCACAGTGTCAAAAGCTTTGCTCATGTCAACGCTCATCGTGAGACTGCCCCTGAGCTTAAGCCCCTGTTGTCCCTTACCAGCCGCTCTAGTTGTAAGGGCCTGCCTGAACCTGGCCTGATCCACATGTGTGAGGGCCTTACAGATCGCCTCCTCTGTGCCCCTACCTGGTACGAAGCCAAACTGAGAGACTCCTTGCATTGCTTGATGGAGGGTGGACTTGAGTCTCTGCCTCACAAGTCCTGCCAGGACCTTGCCCTCAGGTGCTATCACCCCGATCGGACGGAGTGATGTTGGCTTATCTGGCTTCTTGGGGGGCTTTGGGAGCCAAGAGATCTGTGACGAGGTGACGCTGTCCGAAAGCCTTCCTGCAGTGACCTCCCTATTGAGAGTGTCCGAGATAAGCCGAATAGCGTTGGGGCCTAGGGAGCGCCAAGCTACTATGGGAGGACTTTCTTTAGGAACTGCTTTGCCAAGCTTTATAGTGCCTAGCTGTTCTTGAACTTCTTGCTCGGTGATGTGCAGGCTGCCTTGTATCCCTGTGAGCGGGAAGTCGTCCCCTGCTCCAAACAGTTCAATGGAGTATTCCTCTAATTGTCTACGTTCTTCCTTGGCTGTTAGGAAGCGACCCTCTGAGTCACGTAGCTGAACTCTTTCCTGAGGCCTCCCCGACCGGAAGCGCTTGATCACCTTGTAGAGGGAATGACTCCCGTCTTGCTTGGATTTAAGCTCTGCCTGCTCAAGTTGTTCATCTATTTCCTGTCGTCGCCTTTCCTGCTTCTGACGCTTTGCTACCCTCGCCTGTGCACTTTGCTGAGATAGCGACAGCCAGCAGCGAAATACCATTCGGACCTGCAACTCCGGCAAGAACTCTGCTAAGACCTTGACTGACATTGGGAGTGAGCGCAACACTGTGCGCTCTGCCCAAATGCTGAGATCTGTTCTTTGTGCTGCTCCCTTTCTCTTGGGAAAGTGAGTCGCGAGGGCTGAGTTCATTGCTTGATGGAGTCTCTGCCAGGTTTGGGGATGATCCTGAAGGAGGGAGTCTACCTCCCTGGCAAATGCCTGTATTTTCGGGGAACGGTGTCTGTAGCAATCCTCCATTGCCTGCTGGTCATAGGGTTTGGAGGCTTGGGCGGAGTATCTCCTGCTGTGCCTCAGTTTACCAAGAAGGGGGAAATGCCTGCTACCATCCCTCCAGGATGCCACTGGGAAGGTCCTTAGTGGCCGGCAAAACCTGGCAGGGCCTTGGGACTGTGCAATCCTGACAAACGAGAAGTCAATCTGTGAAACAGAGTTGCCTTGTTCGTGGGTGGCTGGTCTATGCACTCCCCAAGTGTTGGTTGCGACTAGCTGGTGCTCCGACAGTAGGGTCTGGAGATCCTTAGATCCGCGATGCCCTAGTCTGCAAGCCTGGATCGTGCATGGCCCTACGTGTTTGTTGTCGGTCTTGAGCGAGGAGTTAAAATCTCCTAGCACAAGGAGAGTGTTGCGATTGGGAACAGCTCGGATGGACTTACTTAGGGCGTGAAGGGTCTGCTTCCGGGTTTCCTTATTCTGAGCGACAGTCTCCTTAGAGCGCCAAACGTATTGATAGCAGCTGAAGACGTCCAGTGAGATGCCGTTGCTCGGCACCCGGACCTGGAGAACTCTTCCTGGAACAACCTCGTTGTAGCGAAGATCCTGTGACTTGCACAGCGTGGAGTGCACCATTATGAGGACCCCGGCTCCCTTCTCCCCTGTGGAACCAGAGCTGATCACGTGCCAACCTGACTTGCTGAATTGCCATGAGCCCCTCCAGTGTGTTTCCTGAATTGCTACCAGCTTCACATCCTGAAATGCTGCACTTTGCAGTACGGAGAGTAACTCTTCCCAAACTGCTGTTGTGAGAGATCCTGCGTTCCAGGATAGATAGCTGAGATTCTTATCTTCTGTAAATTTTGAAGGCCGAGTCCTTCTGCCGGGATTGGTGGGCTTTACATGTGCCGGAGCAACTCCAAGCTCTGTTGACGACATCGTCCTTCCCTTGTAGACCGCACTACCTTCAAGCAGAGCTTTACGTGCTGCCCTTTGATAAGAGCGTTTACCCTTCCCTTTAGGAACGGGCTGATGCTTGGTCGAACCACTAGGCTGTTTCGCAGCACTCATGTTGAGTACGGCTCCTGTCGGCTTCGCAATACCGACAACCCTCACCTCTGGGAGATGTTAGAGAGCTGTAGATCTAATACTCCCTCCCGGACTTGGGACCGGGACTGCTCAGGCGCTGACAAATGCCATGGCAAGAAAGGAAAAAGGCGACTGTACTAGCCTGACCTTTCCTGAGCCGAGAGGCTTACGATAAAAGCAACAACAACAACAACAACAACAACAACAACAACAACAACAACAACAATAGCAATCATGATAACGATAATAAAATAGTAATAAGAATAGAACCGTCGTAACACATATAACGGAACTAATCGCACCAGTAATCGTTAAGAATGATAACAACAACGCTAATAATCACATACAGAATATAGTCAAAGAGTATAAAAACAAAATGACGATAGATAGTAGCGGTAACAACAACAACAACAATCATAATAAGTATACTAGTAGCAACAATACATCTTGTTAATAGTATGTAAACCATGTTTGTTTATAAGAAGAACAATAAGCATGCTTCTAGATATTATTATCATTTTTGCAAATATAATTGCTATTATTGTTGCCATTGCTGTGAAAACTGGATACTTCATACTTGAAGATTCTCGCAGTTGCCCTCTGGCAAGCGAGGCGATTAGAATGTGCAATACAGCCTCCGCTTCCATGCTTGACTCCGACCGCAGCCTGCGTACAATGACGCTCTGACACAGGTTTTTCGCCGCAGCAACATTGGCGGCTTCAAGCACCTTGAGAACCAGGACCCTTGGCTACGACAGGGAACGCTCACAGAAGATCACTTCGCAGTTGGAGAGGTATCGGCCCAGAACCTTAGATGAGCCATGTTGTCAATACATGTCGATACTCAGCAGCTCTGTGCGCTGCAGGGCACGCCTGTGCGCGAGCTGCTTCTAGGTCCGAGGTGTCCGTACACCGCAGCATTTTCACCCCTCGCGGGTCCCTTTCTGAGAGGGGGGCTCGTTCCCAGAAGCCACCATGCCCGACGAAAACAATTCCTGGGTTCAATCGCGGTGATTGTGTTGGAGAACAGGTGGGCATCCCTCACCATGCACTACAACGCCGAAACCGTTCCGCCATGGAGAACATCGGAGCTGTGTTTCGTCGTCGCCCAAGCTGCTGTCGCTTGAAAAAAAGGATGCTGCCCTGTAGAATAACCTTTGACACACTGTAGCAGAAATTTCATATACTGTATGCTAATAAAATATGCTACAGTGTGTAATACCGTTAATATGAAAATAATACAAAGCAATACAACTGTACACTGCACTACACTGCACTACTTCATGCTAGAACTACACCATACTTGAAAAATACTCCTATACCCTGTAATATACTATAATAATTTATACTGTCATATACTCTACTCTATTTTACTATACTGTACTTTGCTATATGCTATTCCACGCTATACTATACAGTGTGTAATACCGTTAATATGAAAATAATACAACGCAAAACAACTGTACACTGCACTACACTGCACTCACTGCACTACACTGCACTACACCATGCTAGAACTACACCATACTTGAAAAATACTCCTATACCCTGTAATATACTATAATCTACTCTACTTTACTATACTGTACTTCGCTATATACTATTCCACGCTATGCTATACTATACTACACTGTACTATACAATGCAACTTATTATACCATACTACACCACACCAGACTACACGATACCACTTTACGCTATACTATACTGTAGTAGATAGACTACAAAAGATTAGCATTTTGCACAAAACCCAGCAAAGCGTCGCTCTTCGGGCCTTTCGCGAGCCCGGGCCAGGAAGGCCTCCGCGCGTCCCCACTGGTCCTCCAAAGTCTTGGGGCAACAGGATTTAGGGTTCAGGGTGTTGAATTTAGGGATTAGGGTTCAGGGTTTTGAATTTAGGGATTAGGGTTCAGGATTTGCCGTGTAGAATTCAGTTTGGGTTTAGGGTTCAGGGTTTAGGGTTTGGGGCTCAAGCCTCTCAAGATGAGCGGATAAAGAGTGGGGAAGAAAGATGATGAGGAGCAGGAAGAAGACAAGGCCCCCCAACGAACCCTCAACCCCTTATAGATCCCTTATCGATCCCTTAGAGAACCCTTATAGATCTCTGTAAAGGAATCCTAAAACCCCCCCCCCCCCCCCACGGTAGCCAAAGCTTGACACCACGTCTAGAGCCCGGTCCTCCCCAGGCTGCGGCCACCAAACTTCAGGGAGATCCTGCAGACCTCGTTCTCAGCTCAGCTGTAGACATTACACAAGCATATATAGAAATATGTATACATATAGTCATATAGTTGTATATATATATATATAGACAAGTGTACACATATACTAAACTAAACATATATTCTACAATCATTGCACATAAAAATTACACATCAGCCAATGCAGGTTCTGTTCCGGGAAGAGAGGCTCAAGGGATTTTGGTCGATTCTGAATGAAAGTCGACTGCGCAGAATGGCCCAAGCATGCTGAAAGCAGAGTCGCCCGGACTCAGATGCTCGCACAGCTCTGCGTTTTTTCGTCATGCCTCATGACTGTGTTAGGGCTTAGAAGATTCCTGGGCTCCTTAGCGACCCGCGCGAACGCTCGTTCTCCCGAAATCTTTGGCTAGATAATCTACCCTGCGATGTGTCCGACAAGAGTGTTTTGGAGTGTGCCGCTGCATACAGACTTACAAAACCAATAGGTGGCAGCAGCCCATCTTTCATGCACACAGGCTGGACGTCCCACGAGGCCGCCGCCTTTCCACTCTGAGATATCCTCTAGTCCAGGATGTCTTGCCAGAACCTTGGACGGCCAGAGAAGAAAGAGAAGGCACTGCGACCTTCTGACTAAAATTTCATCAGCTGCTTCGGCCAGGTATGCTGAGTTAGCGCCCCAAGCATTCTGTCGCACTGCCAGCACCCCCCCCAAGCAAATCTTGACGCCAGCACTGCTCCCAAACTAGCCTGCTTCTTGAGCCAAGGCGACCAGCTCAGACTTGGCTGTCCCCTCGTCGCAGGGGGCGCTCCATCGCTCGCTTATGCCTGCATCCACCTCGGCATGGCCTGGAAGAGAGACCCAGAGATCCGAGAGTCTTTGATGCGATGGCATGGGGTTTGATCAGGCCACTTCGCAAACGTAGCATAGAACCATTATGATTGGAGTAGGGTTTTGGGGCCCCATTATACTATCAAGTACAATAAGGAACCCCCAAACTTGTATAGGTAATTATTGAGGCCTATAGTAGCTCTGCTTTCCAGAGCGCCTGACTCTCCCAAAAGGAGGCCCGCAGTTTGCATGGCCCGTTTCAGTGGGCTGGTCACCACGAGCTCTGCCGCGCGCACAGCAGCACCGGCCGGCCCCTCCTTCGCCTCGCCATGGGCGAACGTTCAAAAGCGGTTTAGAGTTTAGGGTTTAGGGTTGAGGGTTTAGGGAATCGGAAGTGCGGAAGTCGCTTCTCCATTTTACGGTTTTCTGGATTACAAGCTGTAGACCTTCACTCAAACACTTTGTGCAAAGCCTTTTGGCTGGCGTGCCTTGAGAGCCTGCGCAACGCCAACATCGGTCAGGGGGTTGTCGGGCTTCTCGATGAGGGCACGGTCGACGTTGTGGCCAGCTTGTGCATGTCGCACGAAGGCCACCCAGTGAGGGTAGGAGGGGACTTCCTCCACTGTCTCATACAACTTCGGGTAAAAGGGTTCCTCGGCAGTGTAGCCATCCAAAGTCATGAGCTCCACTCTGAACTGCTTCCACACACCGGGAACGGGATCGCATCCCAGGCAAGCACAGGAGGTGATAAGCGGACGGTTTGCCCGGAGGACCTGTTTCACAGCATCGGTGCAGGAAGCTCCTTTGCCAATCTCATCCTTCCAGGGGAACTCGGGGTCGCCGAACCAGGCGCGCAAGACGTTCTCACTGCCTCCCGGCAGCAGCCTCGAGGGTAGGGGGATCCCAGTGCTGGTCCCTGAAAATTCTCCACCCAGGAAGGCTACCAAACAACAAGCTCAGCTGAGACTTTCAAGAAACAGCTTCATGTCTTCGTAGCACTGCAAGGCTCTGTCACCGGAGAGCGCCACAAAAGACGGCAGCACAGAGCAGCCCTTCAAAGAAGCAGCGCTCTTCTCTTGGACCTCTCTTCTTCACGTAAGCACATCTCTGGGGCTTGGGCTCTTTGGCTTAGAGGCTTAGATTCTGGAAGGAACGACCTGGACTCTGAGGCGGCCGCTTCCTTGTGGAAAAAGCCCTTCAGTAGCCAAGAAGAGCCCCGAAGGAAGAGAGGGTACCCCCCGGCCTTCAACGCTTCGTCCAGGCATTGGTAAGGCCGGAACTGAAGCAGCCGCCTCGGCAACAGCAAAAGAAGTTCTGAGGTGCAACGGGTACTTCCACCGGAGACCTGTGCGTCGAGCCCAAGTCCCGTCTCAAGGACCAATCTACCGGGAAACTGCGCAGCATCGGCATCCAGGCCTATGGCCAAGAGCTCCTCGAAACCGTTGGGGACAAAAGACAGGTTTGGGGATGGCGGAATCCAGGTGCTTGGATTGAATGAGACTGCACACAACTACTGCCAAGTTCGAGCGAAATGTCACCGTGTCTGCCCGTCGGTCTGTCCGTCTGTATCTGCCATCATCTACCCATCTGTGTATCTGTGCATGCATGTACACTGATGTTCGATCTTCCATGGTTGAACTCCTTTCAAGACCTTTTTTGCCCGGCACCGGTCCTCCAGCGTACAGCTGTTGAGCTCCAGGGCCATGGCTGTCGCTGAAGCCCCAACAGCTTTACTAAAGCTGTGGGCTTCCAGGGGAATTGCGAGGAGCTTAGGGAGTCATGCCTAATGAGAGGTCTACGCTCTGTGCTCTTCCTATCTGTCCATCTCGCTCATCCAGGATGTGTCTCCCTTCCTGTGAAAAGTGGATGACGTCCCCGAGCAAGCCACCACGTCCACTCCCTATCTCTCTCGCTCTCTCGCGAGTTGCAGTGTTATATTCGAGTGTTATGCTCTGCAGTGATGTTGTTTGCACAGTGTTGGCTTACACTACAATACGTTTTGGCAGGTGACACCACCTCACCTTGATTTCGCTGAACATGCCGTGCTTGAGAGCAACATGCCATGTATCAAACGGTGTGTTGTCTTCTACAATATACCATGCTATAACTATAACGCAATAATATGCCAACCTGCACTCCCAAGCCTTGCCTGAGTCGAGCCAAAGGCTGCATGCGATCATCCGCTCTTTCACCTCGCGAGCCTTGCAACCTGCCAGTAGGATGTCTTATGAACACCGCTTCAATTTCTCCATCCCCGAGTACTTCAAAGGGATCTCCACGGCCCCAAACGCTCCTAAGACGGCGCTCCCCTTGTGGCCTCCTCCGGAGCTTCCTCAGATGGCGCAAAAAGCGCTCCTCCTTGGGAGGAGAACTTGGCCTGGGCAATTCACAATGCAGTGAAGTTTTGGATCCAGACGCGAGGATTCTGGTTGCCTCAAGATCGATCGCATTCTGCGACAACAGCGAAAACAGCAACAGCAGCACACAGCAACCGCTACCGCTACAGCTACAACAGTAAGTAGCACATGCAGCAGAAACGGCGTTTGCAACAGCAGCGGGCAAGTCGCGTCATTCTCATCCTGCTGATCCGCATAAGGATTTCATGCCGTCATATCTTGTCCCCGTCGGGCGGGTGCAGCTACCCGCAGGCAGAGCCTTGCCGAGTTCGCTGGGTTGCCGGCACAATCTAGCAGGCTCCATGCATTCTCTGGATTCTCTGGACCTTGGAACAACAGTATAGGAACTCTGCTGAGAAACAAGACCAGGCACACCAAGCTCAGGCGAATGCGGGCTCCTGGATTCCCAGACATCGCATCTTGCCCGTCGCGCGTTCTAGCCCAGCTGTCCCTGAGCCCTTTTGCGAGATTGGTCGTGAAACTGGTCTGACGGTACATGCTGGCGGTTTTACAACATTTGAAGTCTCCTGCTGTGCAAAAAGCGTCCAGATAAGGACCGCTGTTTTTCTCCCTTAGAAAGGTCGCGGCTCGTCATTCAGTCCTGCAGCGGATTTGCACTTCGAAGGAAGTGGTATCCACGCCAGTAGACTCGCAAGGAACCGTGTCGGAAGGCTGTGCCTGTTCTGACACCGGGTCACATGTACTTACTCTTTGCCAACCGACCGAACTCCAACGATGACACAAACAAACTCCAAAGAAAAGCTGTCGGCCGTAGTGTCTTCTTTCAATCAGCATCCGTATTGTCCTCGAAGGTTTCTGGGACTGGCGCATCAAGATCCTGGAATGAGCACAGCCGTCTGGCAAAGCTAACCACACTTGGTTCTTGTCAAGGGATTTAGCTACCATAATAAGGAACCCATGTTATTTACTATAGATGCCCATTATGGCAATTTAAATCGAATTCCTTCACAAGGAGCTAACCACATGCTCCTTGACTTCCGCCAATCCCTTGCAACTCCTGAAACCCTGCTTCCCCAAGATCGTCACGACCCGAAATACTCACTTCATTACTACTCCCGCTGTTGTGACAGCTACCATTAGTATCATCAATATTAATATCGTTTTTAGTTGTTACTGTTCTTATTATGAATAATTTGTATTATTGTTACTACTACTACTACTACTACTACTACTACTACTACTACTACTACTACTACTACTACTACTACTACTACTACTACTACTACTACTGCTACTAGTAGTGTATATATTGTTACTGCTACTCTGACTACTATCTTTATGAGTATGACTACAATTATTGGTATTATTATTGTTATTATTCTCCATTCGCCTCAGGGCTGGCGTCCCAAGCATCTGTAGCCTGCAGCCATGCGAGGCAATGCAGCACCGCAAGGCTCAGGGCTGACGCAGAGAACTTGGACTGTTCTGAAAGGGTTTATGGTTTAGGGCTTTTAGGGTTAGGTAGTGGGTGGAAGCGTCACCTTTCTTGGCTAGAGAGGCCGAAGCTGAGGCTCTTTCCGACGGGCGGTGGAAGGCTTGGATGGTTGGGCAGGGTGCTTGTGCTCACTGCGGCGTGCCTCCATCTGGAGCCCCGGCAAGCCTGCTACGCAGACAGATGGCTAGCTTGGTCCCTCGGCAGCTGCAATGCCACGGGCATATGACATGCCGGATTGTGCAGTGTTGTTCAACAGAGAGCGCTCCTTTCCACTCGAGTTTCCCTTCCATTCTATGGTTCTTCGCATTGGTCAAAAACTTGGTAAACCGACCTCCTCGTAAGTCCCAGGCCATTACAAGTAGTACAAGTAGCTTTGTATCGTCAGCATCATCGTGAACCAAACCGTCCATGCATGATTCTTCAGGGTCGCGTCGACGCAACACCGAGGTCAGGTGGGGGGTGGGCACATGTATGTCCAGCAGCGGAGTGTGGAAGGTAACATGGAGATTCCCGGAGGCGACTACACACATGAACACTATCACGTAAGGATGTACGGGAACTTCAAAAGAGGGGTGGTGGACACATGTCACAGGCCTCGCTGCAGCAGAGGGTCCACATCATCCGAAAAGAGGGATGTACCTCGGAGAGGCACAAACTCTCTGAAATCCTGACCATTGCTCTGAAGTGAGATGTCCAAGGTCGCTGCGGAAGCGGTGTTCGCGACCGTAGGCACCCACCTCTCACAGTGCGTAAGGCGTAAGGCATCAAGCCATCAGCGGGAGCAATGGCACAGGCCTTCATTGCGATTGTGGTGTTGGTTTCCTGCTTGTTCTGCTACCACTGTCGTCTCCTTCCTCCGCCGTGTTCGTCGCGTCGTATTGCCACAACGACGACCCATAGCTCAGCTAGAACCACCACCATACCCGTCCTGGGCCCCAACCTTCCAACTAATGATGAACCGCACAGATCACTGCAATGCATCATCACTTTCACCAAATCTGCATCATAATGATCACATGGGGTCCTTATAATAAGGATCATACTGTTTAGGGTACTAGATAAGGGGCGCCTATTTTCGGAAACCGCCACATCTCCCAAGCAACAGAAACAGAAGAGTCAAGGAAAGTCAGCCTCTGGCTCTTGGGCTGGCCGCAGCTGATGATCGAAGAAATCCCAATCGTGATCATAGCGGTCCAGGTAGATGTACCTGCCGTCCTCAGGGGGTTTAGGGGCCTAGCTTGGACTTCGGGTTTTCGAATATGTCGGCTTTGGACGTAAGGCCTGGGTCTGCGGTTGGAGATTTAAGCGCAGACTTCGAGGCAACGGCAGCTGCAGCGTTTTGGTTTGAGATGTTGGGGCTTGCCAGGAACATGTTGGGCACTTTCCTGTACCCACGCAAGCTCAAAGACCCATCGTCTGCTTGTGTAACTCGCGCTGGCAAGATTCATACTGCCCAATGCTCTAAGGCCCTGAAGCCCAAACCCTTTTTCCGATCTCCCCGCTCCCAGAGAGCCCAATACCCCTTAATTAAGGAATATAACTTAAATCATAATATGAAGCCCTATATATTTTGAGCCATATTCCTTAATTAAGGGGTATTGGGCTCTCTGGGCTGGTTTCCATGAAGTCTGGGGCTCCCGCGAGACTCACGCCGCTCACGCAGCAAAGAACCAAATCTCCCAGCTGAACTTCCTCGTTTCGTGAAGATGCATATTGGGGGGCTCCTTATGATTATAGCACAAGATACCCCCAAAAACCTGGGGTTCCTTATTACAGTATTGGGGGCTCCTTATTCTAAGGTTCAGGATCTTGGGCTCTACGTCCGGGAGACTGCACGTTGCGGGACTTTGGGCACCTCCCACGCTCTTTGCGTTAAGGATGCAACGGGAGATGCGCTAAGGATGCAACCTGCAAAGGGAGATTGGGATGTACTGTGGGCCCGGAGAAGGTTGGGGTTGGTCGTTTAGGGTTTCGGAGTCTTTCTATCCGACGATGAGGCTGCACATCCATCCCTTCCGGCAGGACTGATGCTGCTTCCGCACACACACACACACACAGAGGCCTGGCGATTCTCCGGCTTAGAACACGGTTGGTTCCCTGGCTCTTATGGTACCCTTGTACCATTGAAGTACTCATAATTCGAACCCAGCCTAAACCCAAAATCCTGAAGTCTCACATTCCTCAAAAGCTATCTTCTAGGATGCCCTGTTCCCTCTGCCTGGCCTTAAATCGCCTGAGAGCTCCAGGTGTGGAGACCATGCCGACGCGCCCGGCATTCAGCTTCAGGAGCAGCTTGCTGGCAGGCAGGTACTGTAAGGCATTTCGCTGTCGCATGCGGCAGGACTGAAGATCCATATTCTTGCTCTTGCTGGATCTACAGACTTGGCTCTTGCTGCTTCGTGTTAGCTTCGTGTACTGTGCAGGAAATGCCCGCGCCATCTCTATGCGGGGTCCATCAAACCCGCCAGCATCACTCGGCTGTCCGCGACGCGACTAGCGCCCAAAGCCGAGTTCCAATCTTGGCCTGGCAAGAACGGCTTTCCCATGCAGAAGCTTTGGGTACTGCCGAAGGGCAATGGGAATTGTTCGGGTAGTCTTGTGGGTAGATGTACTCTCCGTGGTGCATTCATGTGTCTGTGTGTGTGTGCTGTCTGCCAAACATGTTAGAATGCTTCGACAGCTTGCTAGCTAAACCCGTCAGTTTCACCTGAGGAATGTCGCAGTCTTCAGCAAAGAGAATTATGTCCCAAGGGCAAAGGAATCAGACCGGATCTAATTTATCATCATCATCATCATCACCGCTATCACTGATGGGTAGTCAGGCTCGTTGGCACCAGCTTGGCCCTCCCGTCCTTGCAGCTAAGCGGCCATACTTTGGGCCGTGGGAAAGTTGGAGTTCAGGACGCGGTATTCAGCCGCACGCTTCGAAGCTCGAGCAAACTCCTGCCAGGGAGGCATCTTCGCGAGCACGAAGAATATAAGGGCCTTAATACTTCGAACAGGTTTGGGGGTACATTATACTATAAATTATGATAAGGAAGGTAATTATTGAGGCCCCTATATGACAGTCTACGGAATCTTTCTTAAACTCTCGACAAGCAGGCAGCCACTCGGCAAAGCACTCCTCAAGGGAAGTGCGGGAGTTCTCCCTGGCAGCTGCCACGAGGCTTTGGTGGAGCTGGCGCAGATGGCTGACAGAATGGAGCGCGTACCGTACGAGGCCCTTGGAAAGCGGACGCCGGGCCCAAAGGCCCGGATCCTGGAGCATCAGGGACTTGAGTTCCGTCTGCTCGGGCTCGATGTGTAAGTATTGCTTGAGAAGCTCCGATGCTGAGGCCTGGTAAGCCTCGCGTCCCGCCCTTTTCTCAAGGACAGAATGAGCGGCCTGCGTGTCAAAGACCGCTCGCAATCGAATGCCATGCTGGTGGAAGAGGGCTGCGCTGTCTTCCCGACAGTCGTGGATCACCTTGACGATCTGCCTGCTCTCGACAAGTGGTGCAAGGGCTTTCACCACACCCGTCCGCAACGCATCACAGAGAAGGACTTGACCTTTGGAATCCTGCAGCTGCAAGAGGCAGATGCGGCCAAAGCGTCCCAATCGGACTCCCTCGCAATCCAAAGCCACAGTCGGACTCAGAGGATTCCAGACCGCCTTCAACTCAGCCTCCTCGCCGTCCTCTCTCTCTGGATCCACTTGGATGCCTTGGGTCAAGGCGGCGCAGGCCTCCCTCCCCTGGGCCTCGCTGGTCACGAGATGCACTCGCTGCGATGCTGCACAGCTTCGCACGTGACCGCCGGTTGGCAAAGTACGCAGCAAAGCACGGGGCAACTGCCCACTGCTCCACCTCGAAACGGTCGTCGAAACGACTCTGCAAAAGGCTGGAACCATGCCTGCAAGCGGAACGCTCCGCCATCCTACTCGAAAGCTGCCGGTGAAGTCACGTATCAGAACTCTCAATGCCGATGCTGACAGAATCGTCGGCGTGTAGGGCACAGCCCAAAAGCTCGTGAATGTTGCATTAGCTTGTTTGCCCCTTGAGGAAAAGATGTCACAAGCCGGCACGAATCGGGATCTGCTCTGTCTGCAACGTCATGCGGGCAATCCTCTGGGCATCATCGCACTACGCAACAGCGGCCTTTTGCAACTGGCTCAGGCGTCTTTGGCTGGCCGCCACTCCTGCAACAGGCTTAAGTGCTTCCAAGCGCCCTACTACACTGGTCCGAGCAAGATAACAGATATCTGCCTTGCCTCAAACCCATGGAATCGCCAGGATCCTATGCCGGAGCTCGTACGGCGGGTGGCCGCCCCTTCGAAGGCCTCCTTCGCCGCCTGGAGGATGTCGGAGACCGAAGCCAAGGCTCCCCGGCCCACATCGCCACATGCCAGCTTCTTGCTGATCGGCGGGATGATGATGGAGCCACGGGCTTGGAGAGTGTTTAAGTGCTGGGCAGTGCTCGGATGCTCCCACATCAAAGTGTTCATGGCAGGTGCGATAATGAGCGGCTTCTCAGGATCCCACGCTCGTAAGAAGGAGGTCGCCAAGTTGTCACAGAGCCCCAAGGCCAGCTTTGCCAGGGTGTTTGCAGAGCATGGCGCCACCAGCGCTACGTCGGCCCATCTCCGGAGCTCGATGTGAACCACAGAATCCGAAGAGACGTCCTCGTAGCCATCCCACTCGTCGATGTCACGCAAGACATGAACCCCGCTGCGCTGCAGGGCCTCCCATGCACGATAGCGTTCAGGCGCGTATCGCCCGGCTACCTCCTGACTGGTCATCACCTCGGCTGGTGCTGTAAGGACCACCGTGACTTCTGCAATTTCACTCAGCTTCTCCACGAGCTCCGGGATCTTCACCGATGCTACGCTGCCAGTGGCCACAACTGCAATCCGAGGTCTGCCCACCGGACTTGCCGGCTCCTGGAGCCATCCTGCTCTGCATGTGGGCCACTCCTCAGCGAAACACTGCGAAGACTTCCTTTTTGGTTTGGCGTCCCTGCTTGGCCGCATGCCTTCTGCCGCTGACGCAAGCGGCGCTCTACCAGCAGCGCCGCAAGTGCAAGCCCAGCCCCAGCGGCCACCTGGAAAGCACCGGCAAGATTGCAACCCAGGACCCCACGAGATATTGCTGACAGCTCCTCCGCTACTTGAACTTCTTTGTACATGAGCTGGACCAAGATGCCGGCTAAAGCAAAGTCCCTGACTCGAACAGTGCTGTCCATGGCTGCATGTGGGGGTGGACACGAATTGCACAGATGTTTGATGTCGCTGAAGGCTACTGCTGACTGGAGGGGGCTTCGTGTTGTGGCAACCAAAGCAGCATAACAGTGACAGATCTTGGGGCTGAGCGGTGCTTTTGCTACTATGCTACTGCCGCACACAGGTACCAAGCGCGTCGAAGGAGCCATAGCACTGCGACACACACATGCGTGTATATATATATATGTATATATATATATATACATATTACGCGCATACACACACAAATATGCATGTGCAACGGTATATGCAATACAAGTATCCATACAAACAAACATACAAACATACATACATACTTGCATACCGTATAGATTGTGAGTAGGGCACTCTGCCAGCTTGGACTCCAAGTGGAGTGCACAATCGCCACCCCCCCCCCCAGGAAACTGGAGGGGGATGGCGCTTGAGGCATGGCCCTGCTCAGGGCGGAAAGGTCGCAACCCACTCGTTCATTCACTCACTCTATCCATTATATCTCTATATCTGCTGTTTCTGCTGTTTCGGGCGTAGGGTCGAGTTGACGCGGCCCCTTGTGGGATGCATTCAATTAAGTGAAACAAAGACGGCAGTCTACCAGTTCCCAATCGCGACACAACCTGAAGACTGATGCACCAGAAGTCCAGGAGACCGGAGTAAGGTCTGTGCCGCAGAGGGGACTGGATCAGGAAGAACCAATCTGGAAGGTATGCCCCGTGTCCAGTGGTCAACAGAGGCTCGAACAATGTCCCATGCCAATGCAAAACCAGGTAGCATGGCCTCACAGGAACTGGAATCCCGAGGTGGGTCGTTCTGGGATTCAAAAGGAAGGCCAAGTGTTGACAAGCAATAGCAGCACTCGGGGTCTGCATGGGCAAGATAGTCAACCACAACGTCGGCTGCACAGTCCGCAAGGGCCTCACCGTGCTGGTAACGGAGCCATCTGTCCCCAGTGACATGAGGGAGGAGGTCTGAGGGAACGTGCCAACCTGAACCCAGATTGTATCAAGGGAAGCAGCGACAGGTACAGGCCACCTGACACCGGTGAGGGTGAGGGAGTCAAGGTAGAGTCCACTGAGCCGGTAGGTGTCGGTGACAGGGAGGCTATCATCTGCATCCGGAACAAGCCACGAAACGAGGTCATGGCAACAGAGCCAGTTGGCGGCCCCACGCAAGGTGTCAAGTGTGCAGGCAGAGACGGACTGGTGCGGATCCGAAATGAGACGCTGCCAACACCGGGCAGTAACCTGCAGTCGAGCGGCCTGTAGGCACACGCAGGAGAAGGCTGTTCGCAGGCGTTCCCAAAGCTCGTTCTCATCGGAGCTGGCGATACCTCCATCGTGGTCGATGTGCAGGAGACAATCCAGTACCTCTGCAGAAGGCCTAGCAGATTCCTCCTCGACAACGAAATGCAGAGGTCCCTGACGGGGCCCGGAAGCTTGTAGCACAGGCATCAAGGCTACCCCGTCATCCGGAGCCTTCCTGCTGCCTACCCCTGGCTCGGGGATATGTCGGGCACTAGTAGACAACAGCCGACTACGGCACTCACGGCTGTAGCCGAGGTGGCGGCTGAGTTTAGCCGCGGAGGTGAAGTGCTTGAGGCATGCAGGACACTGCGTGCCAGGGGCCAAGCGCCTCATCTCATCCGTGCGCCCGTGGGTAGAAAAGGCGTGGACAGACCACGCCCGGTAGTCCTTGAAGCGCTTGTGGCACACTGCGCAGCACTCTCTCGTTTCCTCCCCGTAGTCCGTTTGGGCGGAGACAACCGCCCCGACGTGCTGGAGCTGGCGCAGTAGCATCCCTTCGTGCCGCTGCAGCTCAGCCTGCCATTTCTCCTGCGCAACGGCGCATTTCTGCGCCCTACGGACGCGCGCCTTCCACCTGCCCGGGTGTTGCTTAGCCTCCTCGCGCCACTCTTCCCAGGCGGAGGTCCAATTCGGATGCCGGCGCTCGGGGTCGGCCCGTTCCCAAAGCCACTGGACGGACTCCGCGGCACAGCGCATCCAAGTGCCCTCCCAGTGGGCGAGGGCCCACAGTTCAGGGACTGGCAGCACAATGCAGGAGAGGAGGTAACGAAGCCTGTGGACGTGGAGGTACGTCGTGGCAGTTGGGATTCTGGCCAGGGCAAGGGTGCTTGCTGTGCCAAGCTTCCATGCCTGGGCACAGTCATAGGCCGGTCGGAGCATCTGGCTGGCCATTCCCCGCAGAGTTCCATTGAGCTTGCGGACGCACTCCGGTGACGGATCCGGCCAGGTGCCGGACCCGTAGAAAAGAGTCGAGGCGACAAGGCTGTCAAAGAGCTGTGCCTTCTCTTGGGGTCCGACCTTCGGTGAGGAAAATATTTTCTGCTTTCGAGAGTTGAATGCAACCCACGCCTGCGCTGCACGCGCTCTAACTTCCCTCATGAGACAGCCTCTGTGGTGAAGAACGCCACCTATAGGTGTTTGTAGGTCGCTGTCAGACGGAGCCGGGCAGTGGTCCACAGCCGGCAGTGGAGGGGGATGGTGCCCTCCTGTTCAACAAAGAGCTGCTGCCGCACTTGCCGTGCATGACGGGCGCGGAGGTGCACCAATGCCTCGGTCTTGCCTCTTTTGAGGTTGGGGAGGAGGGCGTGCTCAAGGCATTTGTCCAGGAGTGTGGACGCTCCCGCGTCCAGGCGCTCAACAAGTTCGCGGGAATCCGCAGCCTGCAGGAGCATGGACAGATCATCCATCCACGTTGCGTCTAAGAGGGTAATGGTGTCGGTGGCCGCCTGTTCAAGTGGCATCAGGCGGCCGACCATGTCCTCATGCCACGGGACTGCTGGGACATGCCCCGCTTCAGAGAGAGCAGCTCGGACCTGCCTCAGTACCTGTGCGAACAACAGGCTGAAAACAAGGTCGGAGAGAGAGAATCTCCTGGTCTTGAGCCGATCGCAGTGGTGACCAGCTCCTCCTCGTCCGCGAAGCGGAACCACGTGTTTTGGAGAGTTTCCTCTAGCGATCGGGTAACCCAAGGGCTGGCTCCGGCAGCCGACGACAGTGGCAGTTGCTGTAAGTGCCGTTGGATGTCATGGTAGACGCCGTTGGGCATGTTGACTGCACGACATGCGGCGGCAATGGCCTCTTCTGTGAGGGGTCCACCGGTCACTAGTGGTCTGACAATGCGATAAAAAGCTTCTTGTAAATCTAAAAAGAGGACTCCATGACGGGAGCCTCTCTGTAGACAGGCTGACTGATACATTCTTGTAGCATGGGCGGGGACTGTGACCGGATAGCCCGGCAAGCCTCCTACTTGAAGAGGCGCTGCAACACTGCACAGTGCTGGGACGCACTTCTTGCGGAGCAGTTTGTGTAACGACTTGCTCACTACAGAGGATACGAGTATACCTCTATAGGAGGAGCACAGTTGTCGCGGTCCTTTGTGTTTGTAGACGCAGTGAAGGACCCCCCCCTTATGCTGGACGGGCTCGGCAAGGGTGAGCAGCGACTTGAGTTGGAGTTGATAGATGGGTTTCGCGAGCAAGGGGGCGCAAAAGTGCAAAAGTTCCCCCGGTAGCCCATCGAGGCCGTAAGCTCTATCCGTAGAGGTATCACGCAAAGCCCACTCAAGATGGCCGAGTGTGGGAGCATCTCTACATGACACCTCATACTCCTCGAGACACCTCGCCTCCTGCCTGGACATGCAGGCATGCACAAGCTCACTGGGGGAGCAGAGGGTGCCAGCTTCAATCGAGGAGAAGTGTTCCAACCAACATTGTTTAGCCTCTTCATGTGTGGCAGCAAGGGTCCCGTCAGCCTTTTCAACCGCAGGCAGTGGCGCACGGTCTCGTTGCTTGCGCTTGGGTCCCCCTGTCAGCGTCCTGAGACGCTGTACAGTTGTTTGAGTGGAGGAAGACTCAGACGCGGCAGCTGTGACCCTGATGTGCTCAATGTGGTCCTGGCGGATTGCACGCCGTAGGGATTGACTGGAAAGACGAAGGTCCGCAAGGAAAACCGGAAGGTCACGCAGTGCCCAAATGACTGGGGCCCAACAGGCAAGCAGAGCATCCTGTAGACCGCGCCGATGGCGCCAGGACAGGAAGGCAGCCTTGAGGTGCCAGCTGTGTATGGTGTGTGAAGCGCTTTTCACGCGCTTGCGCAGCCATTCCCGCTTATTGCGAAGCTGCCACGTGGCAGCTTGGAAGTACTCGTGCCGACAGGATGCCCTTTCTGCGGGGAAAGCGTCAGCAAGGCTTTGACGGAAGTAGGCATCGATGGCCTGTGCGTGTCGATGTACGTCCAAGTCCCATGGCTGGAGGGGGACATGTCGGCAAATGAGTTCAAGAGTACGGCGGCCCTCAGGCGTACGCATGGCAGCAGTATTCAGCCGCTTGTTCGATCTACCCGACTTCTTACCAAGGGTAACTGTACCTCGGACCCAAAGCTGGGCAGCAATGTGGTCAGCACGACTCTGTCCCCAGTCCAGCTGGGAGTTGATGGTGCTACCACCACGGGGGGTGTGCCATGAAGAAGGGATTGCGATGTAATCAAGCCGCGCAGACCCTGCTCCGGTGGGTGAGTGCCACGTAGCAGTCTCACCCGGATGGCAACTATCAAAGGTGCTAGGAATCCACAAATCGAAGTGGTCATCCTGTGAAATGCGGCGGAGGAGATGATAAAGGGCCTCCCACCGCGCATCCCTCTCGGAGTTGGCATTGTGGCGCCCAAACCATAGTTCGACCCCACAAGGCCGTCCGCCTCCTTTGCACTGGTAAACCTGATGTGACTCGCGGAGACGTACGTGGCGCTAACCGCGATTCTTGTCTCCTGAAGAGCGGCAACACTGATGTGGTCTGCTTGCAACTGGTCACGTAAGAAACGGGCTCGCCCTACAAAACTCCCTTCACCATTGGCCTCAGCAGGTGGTACATCCTGAGGCGAAAGGGTTTGAACATTGACTGTGAGTAGGTAGGCGTCCAGGGCACCTCTGCACAATCCACCGGTTTTTGCACCAGCTTGCGGGTCTTGCAGGCCAAAGAAGGCAAGGCATTCAGTGGGGGAGGGCCTGGGTACTGAAGCCGGGCGGGCAGCGACTAGAGACTGCCCTGACAAAACTGGCCATGCGTCAGGGCGGAGCGCAGTTTCAACTGTAAGCCAGAGCCACTGGAATGAGTTGCGCCCGGCAAGTTGTGCGATTTGTCGGATTGCGAGCAGGTCGCATGCCCCTTGATTTCGGCAGGCAGCTTTGGCAAGGCAGTCGGCGACCTCGTTGCCTGGGTCGCCGACGTGAGAACGGGTATGGCGTGTTTGTCGGGGCCCGTTATGAACAGAAGCAGCTGTGAGGCCGCTCTGCATTTGCCAGAGAGGGTATCCTGGGGGTATCCGCCGCCAGTGCCGTCGAAGATGGCATAAAGGCTGAAGTGCAATCAGAGTAGACATCTATGCTAGCATACTGGGGTATTTGGAGGCACCAGCATGCCGTCCAGAAGAGGGCAGTGACTTCAGCTGCAAAAGCCCCGGTATCATGCTCGCCTATGTAGTCGAGGCAGGCGGGGTCTGTTGTGAGGCGGGCCCCTTGCCATCCGAGGTGAAAGGCTCCACCATCAGTGTAAGCACAGACATGGAAGGCCCAAGCTGCATGTTCCCCATTAAACGATCCGTCAGTATAGATCTCGACACTACGGATGTCAGCATATGAAAGGCTGTCATCGGCAGTATTCCATGATCGGAGCCACTTTGGTACGTTACAAGGAAAGTCGAGGACTGGTAGCGGAGCCAGGCGCCAGTGACCAAGTCGCAAGAGGGGAGCGACATCATCAATCTGCAAGTCGCAACTCGGTCCCGGCCGATGACGGGGGTTGCCCGGTGGGCGTCGCAGAATTTGTGACCGCAGTCCCGTCAGCAGTAACACCAATGACCTGCGGCGAGAAGTGATCAAAGAGGGTGTCGAGGAGGGTGCTGGCGAGGTAAAACGCATAGAATCTAGTCTGCAAGAGAGACTGTTCCAGCAGAGTAGGACCCAACCAGGAAGCAGGAACAACGTATCCTGGCTGTTCAGTATGGGCAGACCCCGACAGGTATCAGAGGCCTCAGCATTGGAGTGGATCCCGCCCCCATACCGGCTCCAGGGCTTGTCCCTTTCAGTCGGTCCCCTACATGGAGTGGCAACGGGTCGGGGGCAAGGCGGGTGCGGTGCAGAGACGGCACTTACCGCACAGGTGACGCCATCACGGGCCGAGAGTGTAGAGGTGTCCTGCAGGGGCTCACTGGCATGAGCATCAACAGTAATATCTAAAATCCACGTACTTTCTCCATCGGCTCGCAAGCGGTCAATGCCGCTAGGAAAATGCGCACCACAGGGTACAGAATGCTGCATGGCGGCGTTTGGACGAAGTAGGATTCCTAGGAGAAGGTAGAAGACTCGATCCTCTCCTATGCCCGGACCCATTACCTTGGCCATGCGCGGGGAAATGATGTTTTGATACACTGTCAATGCGCGCTGGGCTTTGACAGCTCTCGTGGAAGCCTGAAGAGGTATTTTGTAAAGCGTTCCCATCAGCAGCGGATGCGGGTGCTCTCCCAACCTGATCAGGCTGTCGGCTGTGGGGCCGTAGGGGAGCTGTGGGGGCAGGTTCTGCTGTCTCAGTAGGGACAATGGCGGACCCAAACCCGGTATCATCCCAAACATGGGACGGGTCCGGTTCAAAGGAAACAGTAATCACATCTCCGGGGCTGAAGTGCACAAAATGTTGGAGCGGCGGGGCTTCCGGCCATCCGCCTGTGAATGCAACACGGGAGCCGGGGGGGCACCTGGCACGGAAGCGGTTTTCGAGGGATGTCAAATTGATAACCCCCTCGGCATTGGCTGCCCACTCAACTCCGAGAAGGATGGGTCGAGCATCAAGGATGTATGGGAAGAGGCCAGTGCCAGCAGCCTCAAGACGAATGTCAATGGAAGTGGCAATAACAGCTGTACTAACCCAAACACCCTGGACAGCAAGATCCCTAAATGTCGGCCTGGCGGGCCTAACCCGTAGGGCGTTTGCAGGGACATGGAGTAGGCCAGCCAAATCCTGCCTGAGGAGTTCCCGCCTCGCACGGTCGAAAGTGAAGTGCCTGGGCCAATCGTCTGCCAAAATCCAGAGCCGGTCTCTCTGTGGCAAAACAGTGGGGCCGGAGTGGGTCCAGCATCCCACATCCTGCAGCATGTCAACGAGCCTAGTGAGGACAAGGACTCCATGGTTCTGAGGCTGCACAGACACAAGATCCCCATGTTCAAGTGCAGCGTTGGAGTCTGCATTGAGCGGCCACGGCATGTCCCGCACATAGACATATGAGTCTGGTGCAGCCGAAGACCCGGCTAGAGCAAGCAGTTGCTGTCGGCTGGAGTTAGGGGGGGCCGCAACGGCAAAGAAACTGTCAGGGATAGAGCCGTTGTCGATCAG